ACGGCCTCTCTGCGTAAGAATGAAGTTTGATAGTGGAATTACCTATCAAAATGAGAAAGATGCTGCGATGCCGCATGCACTTCTTGAGGAAAAGTATCTCGTGTGTCGGCCGACTCAGCTATTTTTGTGCGGTCTCCCTCTAGAATATATCTTAAAGATGTATTTTCGTTCCAAAATTCAAAATTAAGGTTCGATAATCTCAACCATGACAATGATCTAAATTTGAAAGTTTAATCTTTGAAAAAGACAAATAGTTATTTGAATTCATTTTTCAACCATCTATTTTAACTTTTTCTTGGAGATGGATGTTTGATGAACAAGGAACGGGACAGTAATAGGTGAGTTGGTTGAGTCACCAAAACCGCGCCCTTCAAGAAAATAGTGATTTAGAAAATGGTGTAGTTTGTATAGAGCTGAGGCCCTGAACAGTCAAAGTAAAGCATACCTTCGAACAATGTCAAGAAATGTGGTTTCTATATTGGAAATCGTTGTGATAGCCTTAAAATATCTTTTCATCTTTAATTATAAAATTTAACGCTTAAAAAATAGTGTAGATCGAGCAAATCTATGAAAACTTGAAAATCTTCAAAATTGACGGCCAAAAAATACATTACAAAATGCACTATTTCCAAAACTTGAAATCCATTTTTTTTTTCATGTCCATGCATCTTGAATATCAAGACGATCAATTTGAAGATATTTAGGCATCAAACCAACCTCTTATAGTAAAACTTTTGAGGTGGGTTTTAATTTAATTGTTTAGATCCTCGGCTCTATATAAACTCTTTCATTTAGAAAATAGTAAAACTTATCAAAATATATATGATAGAGGAATTACTTGTTATATAAGTCATGTTTTAACTACTTGAAATATAGTTTTTATTTAATTTAAAAAGTCACATCAAAATACATATGGTCATGAGTTGGAAACTTGGAATTGTTGAAAATGGGTAAAAGCGTTGAATAATCGATAAGTTAGATGTATTTGGTTAAATTTATTGATTTAAAAATATGATCTAACTCACTTCAATTCTACTCAAAATCGCTCAGGTAGGATTGATATCGAAAATATAGCAATTCATACATGAAAAATCCTAAATTGGCTGATTCTCCGCTTTTTTATTCCTTTTGGTTTTTAGTTTGTTTCATTAAACATAGCCTGGATAGGACTAGGCAAATTGGGATTGAAATCACTCTCTTTTTTATATTTATAATATTGAGATTGAGATGAACAATTATAGATTATTTCAACATTGAAACAACATTTTTTGATGGATTTTGAGGTACATCTTTCTTCTATAATATAAGGTGGCACCTTTTGGAACTACAACCAAAGAAAGTAGAGTGAAATTAGTTGAGATCCCTTACTCTTTCTCACTTGACTTTGGGAAATCACACGCATGTGTGAAAATGAAACGTAAAACCTCGTTCAACTTATTTTAAAAACCAACTATGTGTAATTTTTTGGTTGATCTGTTTTCTGTGAGAAAAGTCTCACTAAAACAAAGGAATACTTCAAAATATTTTGGTCGGTTGATTGACTCGTGTATCTGTCTGGATTTCCAAGAGATTTGGGACACTAAATACATATATCATAGAAGTGAATCCATTTCCACCTTTGGTCCATGAATTTGGAGTTCTTGTTAGGGTTAGATTAATGATATTTTAACTATTAAAATAGATAAAAAAATCAATATAGATTTTTCAAGGCTCATAATTTATTTATTTATTAGTAAAATTCATGATTGTAGTATTTGAGATGATCTATCCATGACACTTTGTATCCAAATTCCATTTACAAAATAGAGTTTGGATCCATCTACAAGATAGGATTTTGAAAGGATGCACTTGTCACACGTGTACCCCTCGAGGTGCTTCCCCAAATTCACTAAAAGCCGATCCTTCAATTAAAAGAGGGAGGTTTATCAAAATAATCATGAGGTATAAATTATTTAGCATTTTACCTATATTATTTGACTTAATTTCAAAACACCCACATGATCACGAGTTTGAAAAATATTAAATAGCCAATCTCTCATTAGTATTTTGATAAATTTATCTAAAATAAACATAAATATATCCATACAAGAGAGACACACACAAGAGAGACCATTTGAATATTTGAAGCACGTGTAGACATGCATTCACACGTGCTTCAAAGGCTCACATGAGAGAGAGAGGGAGAGAGACGGAATTTATTTACAGTAATTAAAAGGTTTTTATTCCCTCTTATAGAGACCAAGGGTATTTTGGTCCTTTAAGGATAATGATAAAGAGTTACTTTATTTACAGTGATGTGAGCATCCCAAGAAATTTTTTTCTCATTCATGATTCTCATTTAAGTCCAAAAAGAACCGTTCAAATGAAGCAACAAACGGCCACTTTAATACCTTTTCTAACAAGCAATAAGTATTAATTATTATATCCAATGGGTATAGGATAACCATTTTCTTTATTAAATTATATGTTATTTATTATTTTTTCTTATTTATGGTCTGTTGGTTATATATTGTTAAATTATATATTAATTATCATATGTTTTTTTATTGTATTTTTGGTGAGCTTTTGTTTGTTGTTATCCTTTTTCATGCAATGAGAGGAACAAAAGGGTTGTTGATCTAGCTTTCTAAAACTTTTGTTACATCAACTCCACTTGTTTTTCATTCTCTTAAATTAAAAGAACTGACTTTTTTCTTGGTAACACAGGATTTAAAGTATTATCGGTCAATAGCCCTTGATGAAGGAAAATAATTGTAGCACTGGTTGAAAAGGAATTTACAACGCTAGCAAGGGTTCAAACACCTATTGCCAAATATATGTGAAGAGAGAGATGATGTGAGGGTGGACTCGGACCATACTTGGGCTTCGAGGGATAGGCTCGATCTCGGTTTGAGTATTGGTAAAAAAAATTAGACTTAGTGAATTGGATCTAAGCCCACATCTTGAACTCAAATACTATTTGGGTCAGAGTCTGGGTCAGGTAATATTTTTCAGGTCCTAAATCAAGGGGTTTTTGACCTATGGAAAGTGGAAGTTCCCGGGCACCTCAAGTTCAAGGATATTTTTGTCATTTCTTACAATGCAAGTGTTAAATTAGTAACTTCAGACTACCAAGTGTCAATCATGTAATTTTCCCCAAAAACCAGTGCCATTTGATCCCCCTCCACCTCCCCTGAAAAATAAATAAAAAAGCAACGGGTTAGATACAACAAGTGCACACTGGACGGTCCAGATTCTCCCATCCTCTTCGGTCAAGATCGATACATGGTCCAAAACGCATCTCAACTGTTCATCATTTTCCATAATTTATTTTTCCACTCATCTTTCTCTTCATGGGAGGTTTCGTCTGTTACCCGAAAGTCTCACATGGTCTTAGTTGTCCTCCTTCTTGTCCCTCTCTTTTAGTAATTTTAATATTAATTTTTTTATTTGTTATTTTTCTCATGCAATTATAATATTTGGCTACTTAAAATTCATTTTTCTTAATTTTTTGGATAGATTCTCTGAACCAAATGCTGGAAGGCTTTCTTGTGTTTTGACAAATGGTTTTGCATTTCATGCAATTTGTGGGGTATATTTTGTGGGGTATAGCTTTTTAGTACCACTACCATTGTGAGGGGGCTCAAATTTTTTTTTTTTTTAACTTTTTGGTTTCAAATTTTGATTTTTTCCCCCTTTTAGAGAAAGTGGGTCTGCAACTATTTGTGGTTCTAGAGGTCTGGGGTCTCTCTAAATTTGGAGGTGCTTGGTGTTGGTTTAGTCATGGTTTGGAGGGAAATACTCAGTGTGGGTTTGTTTTAGAGTGGAGTTTTGCTCAAAGGGTTTCTTCATCTTTTTCTATTCAAATTTGGTATTTGTTTTATCTTTGATCTTGTCTGGGGTTTCTCAAAATATAGAGGAGCATTTAGGGTTGTTTTTTTCAGTGGTTTGGGGGTGTCCTCTAGTGTCAGCTTTGCTATAGGGTTTTGAAGCTGGTTCTCTATGTAATTTGCAGGGAAAGACTTTTACCTTTGTTATTTAAGCTACTGTATCTGCATTTTTTTTTTAATGGGGCTGGAGTTTAGGCTTGCCTTGAATCAAGAGGTGCATTTGGGTTTGCTCTGAATTTGGAAGTGTTCCTTTTTCTGTATTTTTTACTGTTTTTTCCAATATTGGTTGTAGAGTGCTAGCCTGTGGAGCCATTTGTATCAGGTTTTAAAGTTGAATTACAAGAAATCATACTCCAAAAGTGTGTCTTTTCCTTGAATTTTAAGCCTTTTTCTAGTGGGGTCTTTGTTAGTGTTTATGGATAGGCTGGGAGGTTTCTAAGACTGGTTGTTTGCTATTTTAGTTTATAAGGACTGTATCTCTCAATCTTTTAAGTTGCATTGAGCTCTCTCTCTCTCTCTCTCTCTCTCTCTCTCTCGTA